TGGCAGGGGCGGCGTCGGTGCCAGCCCATTGCCTGCTGCGTGCAACGCCCCCCCCCCCGCCATCCCTGACAACAGAAGCAGCACAAAGTGCACATTGCGGCAGCATCCAGACCGTGCGCGGGCGCCCCGTGGGCACGCTGCGCTGGCTTTTGACAGGGGCGGCGGGGGGTTGCCCGCACACTGCCAGCCGTGTGCAGTGCCCCCCCCTCCACCACAGCCACCAGCCCCTGCCAACGAAAGAAGGCAACGTGCACGCTGCACCAGCATCGATCACTTCGCACTGGTTCCTGGCGGGGGCGGTGGGGGGGGGGCAAGCACACTGCCCGGCGCGCGCAGGCCCAGCACCCCTTGCAACGAGATCGTGCAGCGTGCACTTTGCCAGGGACGGCGGGCTGGGCGGCATAGCGCCTGCTGTGTGCAAGCCCGCCATCCGTGTCCAGACGAGATGCCAAGTCATTGCGGGGTGCACACAGAATACATTGTCTCACAGAGATGGTGGGGAGGGTCGACATGTTGCGCAATGTGGCGCACCTGGTGCGCGTGGCGCAGCTGGCGCGCGTGGCGCACCTCACCTCGCGGGCTTCGCGCACCTACCTGGCGTCTGAATTGGTTCCCGGTGGTTGTCAACAGCGTCCCCTACCTATGCTGAGACTCGGGTGCTGCTTCTGTAGTGGGAGGACGGGTGGGAGTGAGCGAGACTGCTTGCGGCGTTCCCGCTGGGGACTTGATCCCTCCCCCTACCCCTTCTAACTGGGTCTGGACGGTGAGTTTCGCAGGTAGTCAGAAAGCCCAAGATAGCCCAATATGGATCCCAAGGGACCCCAGATAACTCAAGATGGCCTGCAAGATGGCCCAGGATGGCGCAAGATCGCTCAAGATGGATTCCGACATACTCCAAGAGGTCCTAAGACCGATCCAAGATGGGTCCAAGTGGCCCTGGGGGGCTCCCCAGGACGCCCCCAAGAGGCCCCGATCCTTACACACCCACAGGACAATCAATGAGGTTAGCCTTCTCGCCAGTTCGCTTCCGATGGCCTTCTGAGGCCTCAAGATGGCTCCAAGAGTGCCCAAGAGAGACCCAAGAGGGGCCAAAGAGGGCTCCAAGACGGCCCCGAGAGCGCCCGAGAACGCCCCAGCAGCGACCGCAGAGAGCTCCAAGAGGCCACCGTTGATTGTTGATATATGTTCTCCATGGTGATCCCAAGAAGGCATCGACGGCTCCCAAGACCCTAATGTGCCCCCAAGAGGCCCCGAAGCCGCCACCAGAGGCCTCCAAGAGATCCGACGAGGCCCCCAAGACGCCCTGAGAGGCCACCAAGAGCGCCCCAGGAGACATCCCAAGCGACTCTGCAAGGCATCCAAAAGGCCTCTAATTCACTGAGGCTCCCGAGGTATCCAAAGGATGCCACGCTCCCCCGATCAGGGTAGCTCCATGGGCTGGTGGGGATACGCGAAGCGTGAAGACGATGTTCATTCGCTATGCGTGCCGCCTCTTTTTGCTCTCAGGACGTCCCATGGTGGTCCCACGGTGGCTTCAAGAGACGACACGCAGGGCCCAAGAAAGCGCCAAGGGAACCTAGCACTGCCTCAAAGTAGCCTCCAGATGCTCCAAGAGGTCACCAAGATCGCCTAAGATCCCAAGATGGTCCAACAACAACGCCCCCAAGTCGGGCCCAGCCTGCCCAGCGCAAACCTTGACACGACCCCGAGGCAGCCTCGCTCCCAAGGTGGCTCGGCCTGGGGGCCAACTTGGGACGACGGAGGGTGGGGGGGGGACGTGCGTGACCGGTGGACCACCTTGCGCGAGGGTGCCCTCATCCGAACCCAAGAACCGGGCACTCACTTGGGCATCCCGGAGGCAAAACGTTAGGTCGGGCATGTCCTCCTACAGGCGGGTTCTGGAAGAAAATGAGTTGTGGCCAAACAATGCCCAAAACTAGGCAAAAGAGCACCCAGACTATTTTCTACTATTCTTCGATTTTCCTCCTCTAGAGGGACATGCCCGACTCAAGCGAAATGTGTGGAACCAGAGTTCATTACGGGTGCGGATCTTTCATCTACCAGGCTCGTGGTGGGCTCTCCCAATAAGGAAAGAGATGCGCGATGGAGGGGCGTCCTTGATGCAGCCACCAATCTGCGTGCCCACCCCACTGGGCCTATCCCGCGGGGGGGCGAAGCGCGTGGGGGCCGTCCGTTCTGGGTCTGGGTGCAAGTATGCGAACGTACCCACTGGGGCCCTGGGACCCCAAAGGGGGGGCCGAAGTGCAGTCAACCCGTACAATTAGGACGCACGATAAGGGTGCAAGAGGCTTGGAGGGCCATGTCGACACTTTGCGAGCAGGGCGCGGCCAGCGAAAGCGGCCAAGGATGGGCCGAAAGGGAAGGATGCAACGGTAGCCTTGAAAAGTTCCTCATCCTTACTTGTTTGGGTTGGCTGTAAGCGTGGCGTGGGCCATATTTGTTCGCGGGCCGCTGTGAGCAGCCCACGACTTAGGCACGTTGACCTCCAAGTGTGGGCGCAAAGAGGTTGATCTCGCGCCGCGCCGTCTCTTCGGACACCGAAAGGTCCAACCCTGGCTTCCCGATGCCCGCACCAAAAAAAGAAATCGGCCGCCCTGGATTCGCAGAGGACGCAAGAAGCCGCCGCCCCCATGCCGACCGTGCCGATCCTGGGGAAACCAAAGAGTACTGATGCCGATACTCCGCGGACCTCTCTCGGGGTGCGTTCTGACCAGAAGCTCAAGGCGAATCCAGCCGTGGCGACGAGGGCCTCCCTGGAGACCGACAAAGGCCAAAGCGAGGCAAGGGTGGGAGGCCTGGAAATTGGCACCAACACCAGCACAGGGCGTTCGCCTCCACATGGGGAAGATGACCTTAGATTTCGGTGTTGGTGGTAATATTTCGGTCACCTTGAAGCCAGAATATTACCACCATCACCGAGATCGGGATCGTCCTCCCTCGGTGGAGGCACACCTCCGATCTTGGTGTTGGTGTCAACCTCTAGGCCTGCGAAAGGGTGGCGGTGCCGGCGCCTCTTCTTCCTCTGCGAGCCTCCCGCTCCCTCCTCCAGCGCTGGGGGCCCGGCCTCTCCTTGCGGCGCGCAATCTGCAGGAACTGGCGGATCTCGGTGATCTGCTTCGGCATCGCCCCTTTTGGCCTCCCGCGGCGCCCTCCGAGCCCACGGCCCGAGCAGCTCCTCCCCCCCAGCTCCCGGGGGGATTGAGCCGGAGCGGCGGCGGGCCTCTCCTCCCCTGCCGGAGGCGCTGGGGGAAGCAAGGTCGGACGGGCGGGCCCATCGCGAGCTCCCGGGGGAAAGGTGGGGCGGGAGAGGTGGGAGGGTTCGCTCCTCCTCCTCCTCCTCCTCCTCCTCCTCCTCCTCCTCCTCCTCCTCCTCCTCCTCCTCCGGGGGCGGGGCTGCCTGGAAGCTGTCGACCTGACACTTCGGCTTCGCCCAAGCTTGGGAAACAGAAGGGGGCCCTTGAGGGGATCCACGATCAGGGCACGCACATGGCGAACTCGGGGGAAACAGAGGGAGTGAGAGAGAGCGTGTGTGTGTGTGTGTGTGTGTGTGTATATACATCTATATACCCTGGTGAAGAGCCCAACCATATGTAGTTGTGAATGCCGTCGTTGCGGGTATCGCCTCTGGGGGTCTCCCCAAGGGGCCATGAAGTATGCGAATGGTCTGCCGATGTAAGGCGGCGCCAGGGCTTTAGGTGGAACCCACTGTGGGGCCACGAAACGCTTCAGAGGTCTTCGGTGGAGCTCCCTCTGGCCTCTGGAACCGCGAAACGGTGTACTGGGCCGGGGAGACGCATGCGAACACCGCCACTGAGGCCTTCGGTGGAGCTCTTAGTGGGACCGCAAAGCGCTGTACTGAGTGGGGGCGAAGCATGCGAACACCGCCACTGGTGCCTCCGGTACAGTCCCTATGGGACCACGAAACGCTTTACTGGGTGGGGGAGACGCATGCGAACACCGCCACTGGGGGGTTCGGTGGAGCCCCCATTTGGAACAACGGAACGCTGTACTGTGTCGGGGGAGACGCATGCGAACACCGCCACTGGGGCCTTTGGTGGAGCTCCCTATGGGGCCACGAAACGCTGTACTGGGTGGGGGGGGAGGCGCATGCGAACACCGCCACAGGGGCCTTCGGTGGAGCTCCCTATGGGGCCACAAAACGCTGTACTGGGTGGAGGGGGGACGCATGCGAACACCGCCACTGGGGGCTTCGGTGGAGCTCCCGATGGGGCCACGAAGCGCTGTACTGGGTAGGAGAAACGCATGCGAACACCGCCAGTGGGGCCTCCGGTGGAGTTCCCTATGGGGCCACGAAGCGCTGTTCTGAGCGGGGGGGACGCATGCAAACGCCGCCACTGGGGCCTTCGGTGGGGCTCGCTGTGGGGCCACGATGCGTTATACCGGGTGAGGGGAGACGCATGCGAACACCGCCACTGAGGCCTTCGGTAGAGCTCCCTATGGGGCCACGAAGCGCTGTACTGGGTGGAAGCGACGCATGCGAACACCGCCACTGGTGCCTCCGGTAAAGTCCCTATGGGACCACGAAGCGCTGTATTGAGCGGGGGGGACGCATGTGAACGCCGCCACTGGGGCCTTCGGTGGAGTTCCCTATGGGGCCACGAAGCGCTGTTCTGAGTGGGGTGGAGACGCATGCGAACACCGCTATTGGAGCCTTCGGTGGAGCTCCCTATGGGGCCACGAAACGCCTTACTGGGTGGGGGAAACGCATGCGAACACCGCCACTGGGGGCTTCGGTGGAGCCCCCATTTGCAACAAGGGAACGCTGTACTGCGTCGGGGGAGACGCATGCGAACACCGCCACTGAGGCCTTCGGTGGAGCTCTCAGTGGGACCGCAAAACGCGGTACTTTGTGGGGGAAACGCATGCGAACACCGCCACTGGGGCCGTCGGTGGAGCTCCTTATGGGGACACGAAGCGCTGTACTTTGTAGGAAGGACGCATGCGAACACCGCCACTGGGGCCGTCGGTGGGGCTTTCAGTGGGAACGCAAAACGCTGTACTTTGTGGGGGGCGACGCATGCGAACACCGCCACCTTGGTGGGGGAGGAAGACGGATGCGAACACCGCCACAGGGGCCTTCGGTGGAGCTCCCGATGGGGCCACGAAGCGCTGTACTGAGCGCGGGGGAACGCATGCGAACACCGCCACTGGAGCCGTCGGTGGATCTCGCTATGGGGCCACGATACGCTGTATCTTGCAACGAACACCGCCACTGGGGCCTTCGGTGGAGCTCCCGATGGGGCCACGAAACGCTGCAATGGGGGGGAGGCGCATGCGAACACCGCCACTGGGGCCTTCGGTGGAGCTCCCTATGGGGCCACGAAGCGTTTGATTGGGCGGGGGAAAAACAAGCGAACACCGCCACTGGGGCCTTCGGTGGAGCTCCCTATGGGGCAACGAAGCGCAGCACTGGGCGAGGGGAATTGCACGCAAACGCCGCCACTGGGGCCTTCGGTGGAGCTCCCGATGGGGCCACGAAGCGCTGTACTGAGCGCGGGGGAGCGCATGCGAACACCGCCACTGGAGCCGTCGGTGGATCTCGCTATGGGGCCACGATACGCTGTATTTTGCGAGGGGGGACGCATGCGAACACCGCCACTGGGGCCTTCGGTGGAGCTCCCGATGGGGCCACGAAACGCTGCAATGGGGGGGAGGCGCATGCGAACACCTCCACTGGGGCCTTCGGTGGAGCTCCCTATGGGGCCACGAAACGTTTGATTGGGCGGGGGAAAAGCAAGCGAACACCGCCACTGGGGCCTTCGGTGGAGCTCCCTATGGGGCAACGCAGCGCAGCACTGGGCGAGTGGAATTGCACGCAAACACCGCCACTGGGGCCTTCGGTGGAGCTCCCAATGGGGCAACGGAACGCTGTACTGAGTGGGGGGAGACGCATGCGAACACCGCCACTGTGGGGCGTTCGGTGGATCGAAAACCGCCACGCGGGCGTTCAGTGGAGCCCCCTATGGGGCCACGAAGCGCTGCCCTGGGTGTGGGGGGGGGCATGCGAATACCGCACTGGGGCCTTCGGTGGAGCTCCCTATGGGACCACGAAGCGCTCTACTGGCGGGGGAGACGCAAGCGAACACCGCCACTGGTGCCTTCGGTGGAGCTCCCTGTGGGGCAACGAAACGCTGTACTGGGTGAGGGGAATCGCGCGCAAACACCGCCACTGTGGCCTTCGGTGGAGCTCCGTATGGGGCAACGGAACGCTGTACTGGGTTGGGGAGGCGCATGCGAACACCGCCACTATGGGGCTTCGGTGGGGCCCCCATATGGGGCAACGGAGCGCTGTTCCGGGCGGGGGGGGCGCGTGCGCAAACCGCCACTGGGGCGTTCGGTGGAACTCCCTATGGAGACACGAAGCGCTGTACTGAGCGGGGGGGGTGCATGCGAAAGCCGCCACTGAGGCCTTCGGTGGAGCTCCCTATGGGAACGCGAAATGCTGTACTGAGCGGGGGGGGACGCATGCGAACACCGCCAATGGCACTGAGGCCTTCGGTGGAGCTCCCTAGGGGCCACGAAACGCTGTGCTGAGTGGGGTAAACGCACGCGAACACAGCCATAGGGGCCTTCGGTGGACCTCCCTATGGGGCCACGAAGCGCTGTACTGGGTGGGTGGGGGGCGCATGCGAACACCCCACTGGACGGGGGAGACGCAAGCGAACACCGCCACTGGGGCCTTCGGTGGAGCTCCCTATGGGGCCACGAAACGTTGTACTGGGGGGGGGGGAGGAGCATGCGAAACACGCCACTGTGGCCTTCGGTGGAGCTCCCAACAGGGCAACGGAACGCTGTCGAGCGGGGGGGGGATGCAAGCGAACACGGCCACTGTGGTCTTCGGTGGAACTCCCTAGGGGCCACGGAACGCTGTACTGAGCAGGGGAGGCGCATGCGAACACCGCCACTGGGGCATTCGGTGGAGCTCCCTATGGGGCCACGAAGCGCTGTACTGGGCGGGGGGGACGCATGCGAACACCGCCACTGGGGCCTTCGGTGGAGCTCCCTGTGGGGCCACGGTGAAGCTCCGTACGAATGACATGATGCGGATGATGGTGATGATGATGCTGCTGTTGATGATGCTGATGATGATGTTGATGATGATGATGGTGGTGATGATGATGATGATGATGATGATGATGATGATGATGATGATGATGATGATGATGATAGTGATGATGATGATGATGATGATGTTGATGATGATGATGGTGGTGATGATGATAATGATGATGATGATGACGACGATGGTGATGATGTTGATAGCAGAGATGGTGAATCTGATGTTAGTAATGAACATGATGTTGATGATGATGATGACGATAATGATGAGCATGCTGATGCTGAGGATGATGATGTGTATGATGATGCTGATGATGATGATGGTTGCGATGGTGATGGTGGTGATGATGATGATGATGATGATGATGATGGTGGTGGTGAGCATGATGATGATGGTTATGATGATGCTGATGATGATGATGCTAAGTATGGTGATAATTACGGTGATGCTGATGGTGGTGATGGTGGTGATGATGATGAGTTAAATAACGATGTTGGTGATGATGGCGATGATGGTAATGATGATCATGATGGTATTGATTATGATGATGATGATCATCATCATGGTGATTGTGATGGTGATATTGATGGTCAGGCTGATGGAGATAATGATGAGGATGATGGTGCTGATGATGATAATGGTGGTAATGGTGATGATAATGGTGATGACGATGACGATGACGATAATGATGACGATGACGATGTTGATGACGATGATGATGATGATGATGGCAATGACGATAATGATGAGGATGATGAGGATGATAATGATGGTGATGATGGTGTTGCTGGTGGTGATGATGATGATGGTGATGATGATGATGATGTGTATGATGATGCTGATGATGATGATGATGATGATGATGATGATGATGATGATGATGATGATGATGATGATGATGATGATGATGATGATGATGATGATGATGATGATGATGATGGGAGGTTGGAGGGGAGGGAGGAGGAGGAGGAGGAGGAGGCTGAAAAGGAGAGGAGGAGGAGGTGGAGGTGGAGGAGAGGAACGCGGGAACGCGGGGCGCTGTCTCTTCAAAACGAGGACCCAACAGCACCCGAAGGTTGGGGAAAAGAGCATCACGACAACAAGCTGGAGGTGATGGGGTGGGAGCCGTGGGCGGGGCCGAAAGGGTGGGAGGGGGCGGGCAGTGCTGCACTTTCAATCTCGTCTGCGGGCTTCGGGAGATCGGCGAATCTTCCCTCGGCGTTGCGCCTTCTGACGCGCCGAAGGACAAGCTGCCAGCCAGGTGACGATCTCCCGGCAATCTCTCGTGGTGCTGATCAGGACATGGAGGAGGGCTTGTAGGGAAGGTGACAGGTGCTTTAGGTTTTCGGCTCCAGGGCGGCTTCGGCCGGGCTTCCAGACGGGCCCCTAGGCTGGATCCCTGGGGAATGATGAAAGAGGGGTGGGGTGTGGTTGGCGCGCCGGGGTGTGGATGTGAATTTTTGACCCTGGAAAGCTCCGCGAAGTAGCCGGAAGAGCCCCAGGAACGGCCCCAGAGGCGCCCCAGGGATGCCATGAGAGGGCCAGGGCACGCCCTGGGGACAAGCCCTTCTGCAATAAGACAGGGTGCCAGGGCGACAACTTTCACACATTCCCCTCAAAGGGCTCCTCGGGGAGGAAGGGGTGGACGAGGAGGGGTAGGGGGAGTGAGAGGGCGAGAGGGACCTGGCTTCCAACTGCTGACGTTGCCCGATCCGGGGAGCAAGTGCGGGCTCAATACGCTGGCATGGTGACACTCTGGACGCCGTCCATCAGGATGGTCGCGAGGTGGCTGTTTTTAGTGTTGCTTTGGCCGGTGCGTGCTGAGCCAGAGGGCGCTGCCGGGCCAGAAGGCACTAGCGGACTGTCGCTGTGGCCAAGCTGCTTGACGACCTGGCCGTGATCCCCGAGGTGGGCGCCGCTGTGGCCCAGCAGCTTGAGGATACTGCCGTGGTCCCACTCGGCCAGGAGGGAGCCTTGAGGTGGGCTGCACAGCCTGCCGACCCCGTGATGCGAGCCGGCGCGCCAGAAGCCCTCGTACCTGCGGCCGTCCCTCCACGAAAAGACCCCGAAGCCTGACTTCCGGTCCTCTGCGTACTGGCCAGAGAAGCACCGGCCGTCCGCCCACTCGTAGCGGCCGCAGCCGTGCAGCTTCCCGGCGGACCACTGGCCATCGAAGGCGCGCCGGTCCTTGCCGCTGTAACTGCCACTGCCCTGGATCTCGTTCTCGCGCCACTGGCCAGCGTACTCAGAGCCGTCGGGCCACCTGTACACCCCGCCCCCAGACTTTCTGCCCCACGAGAACTCGCCTGCGAACCTGGACTCGTCGGACCAGACCTCCTCGCCGTACCCGTGCTGGAGGTCGCTGGCAAACTGCCCAAGGTAGACAGTCCCGTCGCTGTGTCGGAGGGCGCCGCTGCCATGGACGAGGCCCTCGCTCCACTCCCCGCAATAGACGTCGCCCTGCGAGTGCTCGAAGCGTCCTCTGCCGGTCGCCTGGTCAATCTCACGCAAGAGTGACCCTGGGCAAGGAGGGCCTTTGGCGCGCGGCCCCGGGAGGCCGCTGGGGAGGCCCAGTGCAAGCCGCCCAAGCGCGACGGCCAGTGCTGGCGGGACACCCGTGGGCCCGCTCCAGAGGACACCCAGGCAAGGCGCCACTCTTACGCGAGGCTGAGCCTTGTCCCTGCGCCACTCGCCGTCGTACCGGCTGCCGTCCGGCCAGGCCATGGACCCCCACCCGTCGCGCTCGGAGCCGAGCCACTGCCCGTCGTACACTGCCCCGGTCGCGAACTCGTGGCGCCTCCGCCCCTGGAAGCGAGGGGCAGCGATACGGGGGGGGGCCTGGCTCAGGGGGGAAGCACAGACCCGGCATCGGCGACGCATCGTCCATGGATCGGCGCGAGGCCCCTCATATAGCGAGCTCCGGCGCTCTGGGGCGAGGAGGGCTGCCAGGCCCACGTCGGTGAGAAGGGGGGGGGGATCTTGGAGGCAGCTGCCTCCCCCCAAGAGCCTGCCTTCCCCCAGCGCTACCCCTGAGGCAGACGCCGCACCAGGGCCGCTCGCCCCAGACCGCGTGCTCCTCCGCCGCGAAGTGGGCCCGCGCGAGGGCGCGCCCCACGCCGGCTGGGGCGCCCACGGCGGGGCTGGTCGAGGCCGAGGGCGTGGCGTCGCCCCGGCAGCCGCTGGCACCGTCCCGGGGCTCTGGGCGGCGCCCAGCCGGCGCGCCCGGGCCGCACACGCGCAGGTCGCGGCAGTGCGCTGTCCCCATCAGCGGATCGGGGCACGCGCGAGACGGCGGGGCGGGGGCGCCGCGGGGGCCCGAAGCAAGGAGGCATCCTGAGGCAGTGTGGCTACGGAACAAGAAGGCAAGCAAGCAAGCAAGCAAGCAAGCAAGCAAGCAAGCAAGCAAGCAGGCAGGCAGGCAGGCAAGCAAGCAAGCAAGCAAGCAAGCAAGAGGCTGAGTACGGAACGCACGTGAGCACATAGCCACTATCGCGCGGTATCGCAATACTTCCTGACTGCGACCCGCCACGCCGTGGCCGAAGAAATGGTGTCCTGCCACAACACTGGAAGAGCCTCCATGCCCCCAGCTGCTTCGCAGGCGTGCCTGTAAACTGCCCGGGTCCACGTTGCTCGTGGCTACGGAGGGGGCCTGGAATCTCAAAGACCCCTTCGAGCGTGAGCGCTGCCCGGGCAATAGCACGCACACGCAAGAGAGCGCCTGGGGGAGGAGCTGGCGCAAGGGTGGGGCGCGTGTCCCCTCCCCGGGTCTGGACGGGGAGTGCGCGATGTGGCGGAGGGTCCGCGTGGGCCAAAGATGGCTCCAAGATGACCCCAGACACCCCAAGGTGGCCTCTCGGATGGCAGACGATGGGCCAAGTTGGACCGCCATCCCTCCGAGATGCTGTGAGTCGCCTCCAAGACGGCTCCGCTGTACTTCGGAGCCTCCCAAGGGCGCCCCCCAGATGCCCAAATGCTCCAACAACTTCTGGGTTGACCATGGGTTTGAGCTCCTCGCCCCGTTGCTTCCGATGTGCTTCTTAGGTACCAAGGTGACTCCAAGATCGCCAAGATTATGGGCCCATTCTCTACCACTACTACCATATGCAGGAGGAGTGAGGAGGAGGAGGAGGAGGAGGAGGAGGAGCAGGAGGAGGAGGAGGCGGAGGAGGAGGAGGACCTCCTCATCCTCTCTTCTCCCCCGTCCTACATATGGCAGCGGTGGTGGAAAACTTGCCCATCACAAGCGAGGCTCAGAAGGGCTCCAAGGCGCTCTCCGAGGCTCCCAGGAGCACCCCAAGAGAGCGCCCAAAGGGTCCCCCAACAGGACGCCTTTCCAGGCTCCGGCGGGGGGTGGGGTGCTAAGGGCCCCCCAAACGCCCCGAGAAAGACAGCCCCAGTGTGGCCACAAGTGGTGGTGCGCAACTGGGGGTAGGGGGAGGGCGAGGAGGAGGAGGAGGAGGAGGACCGTGTAAACCCAAGAGTCATCAACGATGTTGGAAAAAGGAACAAGAAAAGAAAAGTATAAATGGAAAAAAAAATAGAAGAGAAAGACAGGGGGAGAAAAAAAAAAGAATAGAAAAAGAAAAAATAAAGAAAAAAAATCAAAAAAAGAAAAAAAAAAAGGCCAGGAAAAAAAGAAAAAAAGGAAAAAAACTAGATAGAAAAAAAAAACGAAAAAAGAAAGAAATAAAATGAGAAGAAATAAATAAAAAGAAAAAAAGAAAAAATGGAGTAAACCCTTCCCTCCAAGCTCCGCTTCATAAATAATATAAAAAAAAAAAATAATAAAAAAATAAAAAATAAAATAAATAATATATATATATAAAAAAAAAAAAAATAAAAATAACTAAGAAAAAAATAAAAAAAAAAGGGCCCCTACAACGGTTCATTTCCATTGAAGGAACTACCTCAATGGAAGACAACCGCTTTGCACCCGCATAATCCTGAATCCTTCCCAAACACCATTTCTGGTACGTTGATCATGGGAACCCGTGAAACTCTTGCAAATATTTAAAACGAATGCGCGCGGCGCTAATGCGAGAGTCACATGTTGAAAACCACCCGCCCTCAATCCGTGAAACCCTTTCAAATGTTCAAAACGAATGTGCGCGGCGCTAAGGCGAAAGCCACATTTTGAAAAGGAACCGCCTCAATCCGTGAAACTCTTGCACATGTTTAAAAGGAATGTGCGCGGCGCTAAAGCGAGAGCCACATTTTGAAAATCATCCGCCCTCAGACCGTGAAATTCCTGCAAATGTGAAAAAACGAATGCGCGCGGCGCTTAGGCGAGAGCCACATTTAGAAAACCACCCGCCCTCCATCTGTGAAACGGTTGCCACTTTTTAGGCTTCAGAATCGTAAGCGGTGAGGAAATCTCAAGCGAAACGCCCGGTCCGCCCTACAAACTGGCCTCGGGGTGCGACAGGGAAACATTATGTATAAGGAAAAGGAATGGAGGAGGAGGAGGAGGAGGAGGAGGAGGAGGAGGAGGACGGAGAAGCGCAGATGCGTACTGAGTCGTCGGAGGAGGAGGAGGGAGAAGGCGTCTTAGGAGGCTGCTCGTCAGAGGGCGCCGGCCTTGCTCCAGGCTGGGCTCCCGGTCTCTCCTCGCCTCCCCGCTGCCACGAGAGGGCCCAGGAATTACCAACAGCCAGGGAGGCCTGCGCGGCGGCCCCCAGCGTTGGGTCGGGCATGTCTTCCTACAAAATTAAGATAGTCGAGCAATACTCGAAAATAGTCACCACCTCCTCCTCCTCCTCCTCCTCCTCCTCCTCCTCCTCCTCGTCCTCCTCCTCCTACTCCTCCTCCTCCTCCTCCTGGTCAAACACGATCGAAGAATCGCCCCCAGACCTATCTTTTGTCTATACTTTGAACATCCCTCCTGTAGAGGGACATGCCCGACTTGACCCCGGCGGCGGGCCCCTCACTCTATGATAACCAGAGGCGATGCGCAAGCGGAACGGGAGTGTGCGGGCGACAGGGCGGCTACCCCCCTCGCTATACCACTGGATGTCCCTGCTCTCCCCGTGTGGCGGAGTTCGGGAACCCTGCACCCCAAAAACGTTCCCATCTCCCGGGGGCGCACCTGTTACTTCCGCCGCCTTCCGCCGCCCTTCCGCCGGCTCCCGCCGCCTTCCGCCGCGGAAGAGATGGCAACCCCAACTCATGCTCGATCCTCGAGGGCAAGGCCTTTTTCGGAACGCCTCATACCGCGGGGCTTCGTCCAGGAATCGCTGCCGGGTGGTCCGGGGGGGCGGGGGCTGCGCGGAGGCATCCAGGGGAGAGGCGGTGCGCGGCCTCCGCGGGCCCGCAGGCCGAAAGCGCTTGCACCGCTCGCTCGCCGTCAGGGGTATTTTCCGGCGGCGAAGCATTCGGCGAAGGACAGCCTTCCCTTTCAACAACCACCCTTTAGTGAAAACGGCCCAGGACCGAAACCGACGGACCTGAACCCGCAAGAATGACGGCCGCGACGCCCTCTCGCGACCCGAGAACGGCCAGTTCGCCTATCGACGCGTGAGGGTAGGAGGTTTATCAACCTCCGACTCATGGGAGCCTCCCATGCCATCTTGTCGGCTCTTGCGAACCGACGCTAAATCGACGCTTCATCGACGCTGCATCGACGCTACATCGACGCTAGCCGACGCTGAGTTGGCGCTATCTCATCGACTCCCAGACGCTCAAGACGAAAGTAAGGCGGTATACCGGGCTCCCACGACTTGCGACCGAAAGGTATGGAGCCGAGAAGGCAACTTTTCTCGGGCGCAGTGCGCACAACCTCCCGGCTAAGACCACGCTCCGTTATCACGGACGTTGCGCTGAGTGAGGAGATCACGCGTTTGCACTGCCCGCCTTTCTCGTGGGGCCCAATTAACATTTTGTAGCTGAACACGTCCGGCTCCAACATCGTTTCCACCAACATGCGAAACAAAAGCGACGCCTGCGGCCATTGCTTGCCATTTTTGCATGCGCTGATGGCGTTGCTGAAGCTAAAGAGATCTGGCATCAACATCGACCCCCACAATTCGCCAAAAACCGTCAACGCTTGTTGCCACTGCCCAACTTTCTCGCATGCGCCGATGACAGAATTGAAGCTCATTGCGTTCAGCTCCAGTCTCGCCCACCTGAACGAGTTGAGCAACGACATCGCGACCTGCGGCTGCTCCTCCCTCTCGCACGCGCCCAGTGCCGCGTTGAGAACGATGACGTCTACCTCCAGCTCTGCCTCCCGTAGCTCGGCCAGCAGCGACACCGCCCGCTGCCACTCCCCGCTGTTCTGGAGGCAGGAGAAAGAAGAAGGCGTGGCATCGAGGGGTGTGGCGCCGATCGTGGACATGTAGACGGCATTCTACGATGGCGAACACCGCCAGATTCAGCATCGGCGGCACACCCCTCCATGCCATTCCCCTTTTCCTGCCTCCAGGGCTGTTCCCGCACGCAGAGATCCCCGCGCAGTAGCTGAACGCGTCCAGCTCCATGCCCGCCTCCCGCAGCTCGCCGAGCAGAGATCCGCCACCGCGCCCCTCGGCACTGAGTGGGGTGTGCTCGGGCCCCTTCGGATTCTGCTCTGAGCACTGCAGGCTGCTTCCTCACAGAGCTCACGGGTGCCACGCCGCGTCGCGAAGCAAGAGGTCGGTGGGCAAACTGGGAGCACCGCACAGGCCGACCCCTGAAAATAGGCAAGCGCGTGCTGTGAGCCGTGGCCTGGACAAGTGTTCGACAATACAATAGCCACAATGAAGAGGAGGAGAAGGAGGAGGAAGAGGAGGCGGAGGCGGAGGAGGAGGAGGAGAAGGAGGAGAAGGGAGTGCTCTTGAAGGGGCCCAGGCTCTCAAGTCACAGGTGCTCTCGGGAATCCCGCGCGACTGCTCCCGAGGCCGCGTTTTCAATATGTTCCGTCC